TCAGGTAAAATAAAAACCCCTCCATTCCTACTTGTTTAGGGTTTTCTCCCTAAGCAGCTAAGAATGAGAAAGAAGAGATAAGTAAACTTGGTTTTGGCTTCACAGAGCACAAAATGTTTAGTAGTCAGTTTCTAAAACACTCCCAAAATTTTGCCTGATTTTTCTTATTTTTCAGCAAATTTTCTTGCTATTTGTTTGTGTTCTGGGTAACATACAAATTACATCTGTGTTCTTTCCACTTTCATTTTTCCTTCACAGTGCACCATTGCATGTCTATTGCAGCATTTCACATTTTAGGTTCATTGCCATCTTTATTCTTTCCAACAGAAGAGCTATCTGCCATGTTGAGTGGGGGCCAATTTCTGTGAAGGCTTGAGATCAACAGAGGTTTGCAGTAATAGCAAGCTTTGAAAATCAAGTTGCCAAGCACACCAGCTATTAATTTGGAGTCAAGAAACTTCTCAAGAGGAAAACAAAAAACAAAAACAAGCAAATGTACTGCATAAAAACAAAAACTATGGACTGAGAAGATAGCTCAGTGGTAGAGCATATGTTAGGCCCTGGGCTCAATCCCCAGCATCATACAAAACAAAGCAAAGCAAAGCAAAATAAAATAGAAAGGTCCAAAGATTTCAGATTTTAAAAAATCTCTAACCTATAGATATACAGGCTAATTATAATGAGTATCTTTTCATCACCTACTTTGTATATCTTAAAATGTTTTATTTAGGTCACTTATCCATTTTTAAGTTAGGTTGCTTTTATTACTGATGTTAAATAAATTGTCTAAGTACAAGTTCCTTTTCAGATATTGAATTTCCAAATTTTTTTTCCATTCTGGACGTTGTCTTTTCTTTCTCTCTCGCTCTGTTTTTCGAGACAGGGTCCCACTATGCAGTCTGCAGTGGCCTCATACTCATGATCATGCCTTACCCTTCCCAGTGTTTGGATTATAGGCCCATGCCACCACACCGGGCATTTTAAAAAAATATATACATGCATATATATATATATATAAAATCACTATATCTATATAGTACAGGCTGGCCTTGAACTCATCATGGAGCTCAGACTGACCTCGAACTTAAGACAATCCACCTGCCTCAGCCTCTTGAGTACGGGGAATACAGGTATGTGTCACCATGCCCACCCAGGCATGCTTTTTTTTCTGCTTTGCTTTTTTTTTTTTTTTTTTTGGCAGCACTGGGATGAAACCTGGGGCCTCACAGATGCCAGGCAAGTATATTTCCAGCCCCTTAACATTTTAATTTTTAAGATTTTGAGACAGAGTCTCACTAAACTATCTAGTTGGTCTCAAACTTGTAATCCTCCTGCCTCAGCCTCCCAAAATAGCTAGGATTATAGAAATGTGCCACTGTACCCAATTGGAAAATAACTCTTTATACATATATTTTGTCATAAAATTAACACTCAAGGAACAAGCTACAGAAAGATATGACATTTATTCTGGTTTTTTTTTCCACACCTTGACACACCACTACATAACAGGACACATAACCTAAAAAAAGAATTTAAGCAAGGGTAATGAATGTAACAAGACATCTACCATATTTATGATAAGAGCACAATTTGGTCAATGAAAATCACTTATCTTCTGTAAATATCTACCCATAAGAACAAATATATTTAGTCAGTAGTCTATTCTATGGGACACAAATGAAGATAAATAGGATTTAGATGTCCTTTGTAAGTGAATAGTGAATCCTCTGTCTAGAATTAAGAATTCAATCAAGTAATCCTATAGATGCTAAGTCACCAAATACATACTGGGGTAAAATTTTTCCATTAACGTCCTTAAGCCTAAGAATCGTCAAGAACTAATAACAGTGTTAAAGCAAATCTCTGAAAATGCTTACAGACCACGGCCAAGTCATTGAGACCTAGTTCAATCCTAACTCATCTGTTTCAAGTCCACCTTCATACCACTTCACTGAAGAAGTTTTCCTAATAATAATTAAGAGCTAAGCCAGCTGACCTCTTAACCATATGCCTGTCACTTAATCCTCTCAGGTACCATAATGCAAATTCTATAAATCTCCTCTTGGAGATGAGGAAGCTGGTTTAAAGAGATCATGTAACCTGCCTAAAGTTGCTAATCTGAGTAACAACACAGAGATTTAAATCTACGCCTAAATTGAAAGTTTCAAACTCTGCATTATCTCTGGAGAGATTCTCTTAACATTAGTCTAATAGTCTTAGGAACCTTATTCCTAAAAATACACTACTTAGCAACCACTACAGGACACACAACCAGAATTTCTAGGACCTTCTTAGATTAACAGTAGATTTAGGAATCATTAAGAGTTTAACTTCCCATTTCCTACGAAATAGAATCTTTTTTTTTTTCTTTTTTTGTCTTTTTCTTTTTTTATCAGTACCGGGGATTGAACCCAGACTGCCTGCTTGCAAGGCAGGTGCTTATGCCTGCTGAGCTAGATCCCCAGGCCCTGGAATCTTTTTCTTATACCTAACCCCACCTTTTACTCCCCAGCAGTCTCCACCTCTCCTAAGAGATGCTTAAAATGCATTAAATTGACCTACAAAGCTCTTTTCTTCCTTGTCTGCCAATCATTGATCTTTTGTGGTTTCATGTTGTCCTAAGATCCCTTCTTTGTTAGTTTCTCAGTTTCTTCATAGGGCCTTCCTTTATAGAGTAATTTGTACATGGTGTTCTTTGCCCTTGAATGTTCTTTGCCCTCGGGTGTTCTTTGCCCACTTTATCTAGTTAATGCCTGCTCTTTTTCAGATCTTAATATACTAGACACTTCCTCAGAAAAACTTGCACTGATTTTCCTATGTCAAGTCCTTGGTTATAATTTCTCATAACACATAATTTCTATATACCATATTTGCAGCTTAACAAACTTAGAGACATGATTTTCTCCTCCACTACATAAACTGTAAACTTTTAAAAGGTCAACTATGCTTAGTTTTGCTCATCATTATTATCTCCAGTACTTTACCTGAATATATTGAATGAATTAATAGCTTCAAGGTATTTTAAATATCCCTTATCAACTATATTTTTCACCACATAACACAGACCTGTAGATTGAACTCCAGAGGTTAAATGCTTTAATTACATCTTTTCAATCTTAGACTTAGAAAAGATCTTAGACTCAAGATCTTTTCTACCTCTTCACCTATGTAATTCCTTCTCTTGCTACCAAGTAAAGCCCATTTCTGCTTTCATGAAATTCTCTTTAATATTCCTTATAGTTAATAACTGTCTTCTCTGAATTTCCCTATCATTTGTATTTCTATATTTCATATATAAGTATCTTGTTTTATTTTTCTAAACACAAACATTTTAGTGCTCTTATGGGAAGTATGGTTTATTTGCTACTAGAGCACCATGCACATAATAAATTCCCTAAAGCATCTGCTGATGGAATAAATAAATTAATTTTCTTGGCTTCCTTTGCTTAAGAGATAAATAAACTACAGAGGAAGGCTTACACAGTACAAGAAGCAAAAGAATCTTTCTGTAAGACGGGCCACTTCTTATTTCCTGCCCAAAAGGTATTAATCATAATACCCCAAAGCCCGCCCTCCCCCCTTTTTTCCTCAGACAGGCAGCATTCCTCCTGCCTCAGCCTCCATGTATCACCATGCCCGGCTCCCCAGAGTCTTTTATAAGCGCATATTTCAGAAATTGGACCAAATAAAGTTCTGGTTATGTTTTGTATCTACTTATCCATCCATCCTTCTTTCCTTCCTTCCTGGTACGAAGAGTAAATTTTGAACAAGTAATTAAGAACCGACTGTAAATTTCTACATTAAAAAAGAATTTTTCAAAACAGGCCATGGTGGTGCACTCCTGTAATCGTGATACTAAGAAGACAGAGCCAGGGGGATTGCCGCAAGTTCAAGGCCAGCCTGAACTACTTGCTGTACATAGCAAAACCCTGTCTCCACGCCCCACCCCAGAAAAGACCTCGCATTTTCATTCAAAGAAAACAAATCAAGCACTGTACAGCAGATATAACTACCAAATATCCTACCAACCACAAGTCTAGGAAATGTCACAGATCGTCCAAAATATGCATTTTTAATCAACAGCTCTTTTTCCTCGCGCTCCAGCTATCCCTAGAGCGTCAGAGAACAGCCCATTGAGTGATTTGCGACTTCTCCCTTTTGATTCCACACCCCGGACCCACAGCCCCTCCATCCACCTGCTTGGAGGTGTCTGTCAAGGAGACAAGAAATGGTTAACAGAGGCCGTAGCAGAAAGAGAAACAAACACCCTTGACAACCCACAGCTGAGTAAGCAAAAGCTGTTTATTCACGAACGTATTCCTTTTGGAGACTGTTGGCGAGCCCTTGAAAGCTCATGGAAGGCACATTTGAGAAGGTTCCTAGAGAGGACAAGATCATCTTTTCTCCTTCCACCCCCAACCTCCGAATACACACCGAGGCTCAGTGGCAACGGTACCGTCAAACAGCCCTAACCCCTCCGCCCCCTCGGTAATAACCTCAGGCACGCAGCATCTGACCCCTTGCGGGGGGCTGTGTAACGCATCCAAAATGAGCTCTGACGTGGAAGAGGCTGATTCCACCGGCCGGGGGGTTCCCCCTGCCGCCACGGCCCGCCAGGACACCACAACCAGGGCTGCGGACCTGACGAGAATTGGCCCTCCAGCCCCTTCCCCTCACCTAGCTTCTTCCCACCTGAGGGCAAGAGCTGAGGAGTAAAGAAACAGACAAGAAGGGCTGACCTTGTTGCTAGTGACAGAGGAGCGGTACATCCTGCTGCTTCCCGGAAAGCGATCCGAAGGACATTTCCCCCTCCCCGGAGGAAGGAAACGGGAGGGCGCCGGCTGGGCGGCCGCGGTGGTCCGGGCGGGCTGGCTTCTAGCGGGGACGGGCCGAAGACTACATCTCCCAGGATGCTCTGGGCTCGCCCTGCGTCGTGACCCCGGCGCGCACGGAGGCGGTGACTCTTACCTCACAGAGGTGGCTCCGCCGGTGGCAGCAGCTCGGCGCCCGTGGTACATGGACCGGAACCTCGGGCCGACGGGTAGGAACAGAGGCCGAGATCGTCGCCTGTCCGTGTCAGGCTCCTCCTCCCCGCTCCCCACGTCCTCCTCTGCACGACTGCTTAGCCGCGCACCGCCGCTGCTGGCCTAGCCGAGCCTCTAGGGGAGGCTGGGTGGTGGGTTCGCCGCTGCCTCGGGACTGAGGCCTACTCCACTGCCTCAGTGCTATTGTCTCTGGGCGGGCCTGGCCGCGACCTGGGCCACTGGGCAGAGCCAAGTGCGCCGGCTCTGCGGAAGATGCCGGACCAAGCCCTACAGCAGATGCTGGACAGGTACGGGCAATTTTGGGGAGAAAAGGGGCGCCGACCTTCGCTATGCCCTGCTCGCGCCTGGCCTCGAGATTCGGGGCCTGGAGCCCGGCGTGCCGGGAAGAGTTCCACAACACGGGGGCCGGGCAAAGGGCAAAAAGTTTGGAGTTTGTACTTAGGGGAGAACAGAGCGCGAGGCCTGGGTCGTAGACTTAGAAACTTAGGTGAGGAGAGTCTAGTTTTGTTGGAACACCGTTTTCAAGTGGAAGTTGCTCCTGGTACCCATACAATTAGGTTTTTTTTCTTATTTTCCCCACCTTCCAACTATGTCAGTGATGTCACTGGCAAGAAGAACCGATTATCTTTTCTAAGAAGTGAATCCCTCACCCCTTAGAATTTTAAGCTTCTTTCCAAAAACCAAGGGTAAACATTGTTTCGGAAAACCTGATAAAGGCTGATTTCATTCTTTTTTTCCCCGCCCCCACCCTATCCCCCAGTGTGTAAGGTCAGAGTATCCGCAAGAGAGCCTTGACGGTCATGAGTAGAATAGAGGTTATGGAAAACAGCCAGATGAGTCCAACATTGAACATTTAACACACTTGAGAATCGCTGAGTTCACTGGGAAACTTTCAGTTTACATAGGGGCCAGTTGTCCGTTTCTGGGGGGCTCCAGTCGGTAAAACTCTTTGTAAAGTCGTCTGCATCGCCCTCTGCTGTTCAAATTGTAGGCAGTGTGTTCTGAGTTTTTAGAAACTCTTAAATCCACTTGTACCCCTACGCAGGACTTCCTGTCATAGCCTAATTGTACAACTAATTCATAATCTTTGTGGTTGCTTACAACTTTCAGTAGACATCACTTGCCTCCCTCCCTGTTTAGCAGGTGATACAACTTTTTGCGCTGAGTAAAGATTCAATTGTAGGTAGTTAAATACTGTTTTGGTTCACCACACCCAAGCAAGTCACCCATAACCTCCTGCAGTGACACTTCCTTTGGAGTTTAGAATTATGAGACATTTAAATTGACAAAAATTATGTCACTGGCTTTTTTCAGTTTGAATGACTGATGTGTAATCTAGCTAGCCTTTGTTTCAGGACAACATTGTAAACTATTTTGTCTACATCTTTTTCAAATATGTGATTTACAAGCACCTGAGAGGCAAAAACTTACTCATTGTTTACGTTAAATCCTAGAACAAAGTCTAACACCAGCAGGTAATCAGGAAATAGTTATGTAAACTAATTCATGAACTTCTCAGTTTATCCAGTTGTCTAGAGGTCTGATCATTTATCCAGTTTTCCTTTCATTATGGTTTAGCACCCTGGCAAATTCTGGCATATTACTATTTTCCCAGAGGAGGCCACCATCTGTGATTGCCAATTCCAATCAAATGAGACCCTTTCCAGTGTGGGTATTTTGTAATGAATTTTTCCCCCTCTTGAACACCTTCCTTTTTCTTTGAGTTTTATATGGTGACTTTTGCAGTTCTTACCTTCCAGAAGTTCTTCTGTTTTCATAAGCTCTTTAGATACCCTCCGTGAAATTAAAAAGAAACTAGTGAGCTAAGCAGCTAGTGAGTCATTTAAAACTTAATAGTAACTTGGAAATTCTGGCTTCTCTTTACTGAAGCAGGTGAGTGTAACACTTACCTTACTCTCACATTTGTGTCTTTTTGACACACCTAAAGATAATTTGTATGTGTGTGTTGGGAGATGGGTATTGGGAATTTAACCCAGAGCTTTATGAGCAATAATTTTGGGCTTTAGAGATGAAAATGGTAAAATTCTGATTTTGCCACGTAGTAGCTATGTGACCTAGATTAGGCTTAGTTTTGATGGGGTTTGTTTTGTTTTGGGTTTTTGTTTGTTTGTTTTGTTGTCTTTTGAGACTGTTTCACTATGTAGCTTAGGCTGGCCTTGAGCTCACTTTGTAGCCCAGGCTATCCAACTCCTGGGGATCCTCTTCCCTTAGCCTCCTGAGTGTTGGAATTCAGGTGGATGCCACCATGCCTAGTTTTTTTAGTTTTTGGGGCAGGGTTTTGCTATGTAGTTCTGGCTGGCTTTGAGCTCACTGTGTAGCACAAGCCAGTCTTGACCACACATTTGAAAAAGAAGTGGACAAAACAGTTTAGAATGTTGTCCTGAAACAAAGGCTAGCTAGACTACACATAGTCATTCACAGTCTTGCCTTAGCCTTCCCAGTGCTAGGATTACAGGCTTGCACTAACACACCTGGCTATGGATAGTAATTTTTTTGAGGGACAGTTGAGCTCAAGACACCCAGTTGTTTCTTTCTTTGGTACAGGTGAAGGCTAAGGAAATGTATAAAAAATGTTTTGTTCATTTGCTTCTTGGTTTAATATGTGTTTTGTATGAGTCAATTTTTAAATGTTTGTATTTACTAAATTTAATAAACACTGAGTGCCAACATGCCCAGTATGCTAAGACCTTGGTGTGTAATAGTGAATACAATGAAAATGCTTTTAAGGAATTTAAATTCTGACAATCTTTGTGTTGTATAAACTCTTCATAGTGAAGACTTTTTTTGTGTGAAGTCTATTTTAATTGTAATATGCATGGTTTTTTGTTTTTTGTTTTTTGGATTTATTTTTGTACTGGGGATTGAACTCATGACCTCACACTTGCCAGGCAGGCACGTGCGCTGCTGAGCTAGATCTCTGGCTTCTTTTTTTTTTTTTTTGGTACCAGGCATTAAATGGTATTTTCATTATATACCAATTAATCTTTCCTTCTCCTTTTTTTTTTTTTAAGAGGGTCTCTAATCCTGGTTACTTTTAAATTTGCTATGTAGACCAGGCTAGCCTCAATCTTGGAATCTTTCTTAGCCTCCCAAGTGCTGGAATTACACCATGCCCAGCAGTGTTTTCAAACTAGTGGCAGTTTATTAAGAGTTGAAATTGAATTACCTTATTCTTTGCAGATAATTAACTCAGCCACTATTTATCTTGATAATTTGATTATTGCAGTATTTCTAAGTAAAAGCATACATTTGTGTATTATGTATTTTTGTTTAACTTTAGGTATTCATACTCAGCATCCCAAAGGCTAAGTGAGGCAGGAGGATCACATCAAATTCTGTGTTGCCTGGGCAACATAGTTAATTCAAGGGCAGCTAGAAATACATAGTTATACTTTGTACCAAATAAATAGGTAGTTTATGGCTCTTGATGAACAAAACAACATGAGAGTAAATCACAGACAAAAGAGAATGATGTAAGAGGTATGCTAAACACTAGATATATGACGCTGTGACCAGGGTAACATGCCATTGTGGTTTGTAGTAAACTTCTTACAAATAGGATCATACTGTGAAACAGCAATAAAGTGGTACAGTAAATACCCCAACAGGGACAAAGTTGTATACTATCATTATGAAGTATCAGACACTATACATAATAGCATACATTTGATAAGAGTAGTAGATTTGTTCATACCATCACAAGTAAAGCATGGCACTATATGTTACCATGGCTAACATCTTTAGATAAAAAAATTTTTTAATACCATTATAATTTTGATCCCCACCCAATATCATATATTACAGTCCATCACTGGTGAAAGTATTCTTTCCTAGTGCAAGACTAAGAACTAAATCTGATTAATCTACCTTTACAGATAAGCAAACAAACTTAGCAAGCTGAAATAAATTGTTAAAAGAACACACAATATCTTAGTCGTTTTCCATCACTGGGACAAAATACTCAGCCCACAGTTTTTAAAGGACATGTTTATATTGGCTTGCGTTTAGAAGATATACTCATAGGCAGCTTGGTTCCAAGACAGGAAGGGCATGGTGGAATGGCTTGGCAGAGGACAGCTGCTCACAAAATGGTGGCCAAGAATGGAGTAAAGAGAGATGTGTACCCTTCTTGGTCAGACCTCTCATGAACTGCCTCTTCCAAGCAGAGCCAGCTTCCTAATAACATATTCAGTCTCTTTGTGAACTAATCCATTATTAAATACAGTGCCCCCATCATCTGGGCACACTCCAAAAGACCAATCTCTGAACATATGAGCCTTTGGTAGGTAGGGGGACACTTTAGACCTAAACCATAAAACATAGCAATGGCATAACACAGGTAGAATTTAAACTCAAGTGGCCAGATTTTACAATTCTCATTCACTACCATGTGTTCTCTCATCTGCTGTATTCAAAGATATGGGTCAGCCTTTATGAATCATTTCTCTCTCTTGACTTGATCCAGTAGTATATGACATATTAATAGGAAGATGTTACTCTAGAGATGAGTTTCCCCAAAGCCCTCAGCGTGTCTGTGTTACTCAGACTATAGATTAAGTGGTTCATCATTGGGGTCACTATAGCGTACCCCTCTGAAGCTGTTGCACTCTTCCGAGGTATACTCTACAACCTTGTCCCTGAGTCTCTTTCCAGACTCTCTTGAATAACTTGTGATTGGTTGGTAGCAAAATCTTCCCATCAAAACAAGGTTCTTGATGGTGAATTCACTTCATAGCCTTCAGGTTTATCTTCCTGTTCCAGCTGGGTGAGCAAAGTAGTTCCCAGAGAAGCCACGTTTCTATAGTTCTCCAACACCACATCTCAGTAGAGTTCTCTTTCCGCTAAGTCCAGCAATTTCCACTCCCTTCTGATGAAGTCTATGGCCATATCCTCGAAGATTACAGAGTTCTGTGACTCACAATGGATGTTTTCCATTTCTATGATTCTCTGATGCACACAAGCAGGGACTTGAACAGGTAGAACAAGTATAATAAATGGATTTACAGCTGCCATTTTGTAAGGCTGCAAATTAATACACCCTGACAGCAACCAGGAGAACCAAAGTGCTTCTTTTTTTTTTTTTTTAAAGTCCATTTTGTTTCAAAGGTGAAGAAGAAAAGAAAAAAAATGACAAAATTACAAAACACATCAATGAAGGGGCCAAGGTGCTTCTTAATGCTACCATTGACCACTCCAGGAACAGTTAAAAAAGCAAAAACAAGTTCAAAGATTCAGATACAGCTCATCTGATGACAGCTCTCCTTGA